CAATATGTAAGTGCAAATGACAAGTCTCGGTTAGCCTAACGCAGTACACGTAGCAAGGTATATATATATATATATATTATACACACACAAAGAAAAACAAGTAGATAGAATAGAAAAATAGAAAGCTAGTGTTTGTTAGTTTGTTGTTGTTTTTTTTAAATAAAAAATAAAACAAAAAAAGAAGATAAATATAGATAAAGTAGAATTAAAATAGAATAGAAAGTGCTAGAGTTAGAGGGTCAAATAAAGGTTTATTTATAATAATAATATATTATTATATTATTAATAATTTTATTTATTTATATTACACATATATAGTGTAAATAACATGGTATTTACATATTTCAAGGTACTTCAATGAATTCCATAGTTTTACCATGTTACATATCCAAAAACTCACATCACTACTGTATCCCTTGTGAAAAATTGTACACTTTAGCTTTAGAATTATCTTTTTTAAAAAGAGTATTTAGTAAGGAAATAATTTACATTTAGACACTTTTATCCAAAGACTTACAAATGAGGACAATGGAAGCAATCAAAATCAACAAAAGAGCAATGATATGCAAGTGCTATAACTATATATATAAATATATATATAAATATAAATAAGTGCTATGTAAATAATATACTTTATGAGAAAATACTTACACAAACTGAATGTTTTCAGAGATTTAATTGTCATTGCATTTACATTTACAAATTTTAAAATGTATATTAATTATCATTTAATCATCAAATTTAAATGTAATATAAAATAACAGTTAAACTTGTGCTCTAGTTCGTTAGACAGCACATCAAAATAAAACAATGACTCAATCAATTATTAAAACAATGAATTAAAATGTAGGCTAATAAAACGTTTGATTTCTTTCTTAAGTGTATGTAGGCATAGTCACTTATATACACTTAAGTGCCCTTTTATTGTATTAATATTATATTATCTGCAAGTACAGTTTTTTAATAACTTTTTCAAAAGATTTCAAGTCTTTAAAAAGTGCACATACAATACAATTAAGCGCACTTCCTTTTCAGAAGGGATATCCAAAACACAGTATTAGCAAGGCACTTTTGGTACCTTTTGTTATTACTAGTTACTTGAAAAAGTAATCTGATTACGTAACTCGCGTTACTTGTAATGCGTTACCCCCAACACTGAGTGTAATCATGTACAGACATAAAGAGCATAAATAATGTACATTAGAGCTCTTTGTGTAATCACACCTGTATATCGACAGAGGGATAAATAAGCTTGTGACTACAAAATTTTAGACACCAGTGCAATTTTACAATTCTTGATTTCAATTTAGACGCTGGCCGCTCTTGATGACGTACTGATGTCGTACATATTACGCGCAGGCGAGCAATCAAAAATGTTTATTTACCATAGAATATTTCTCAGGGTGCTATATATTATGTAAACTGAAAGCTTGCTGGAGTGGGGAGCCACAAAGTTTTACGAAACAGACTCTTTTTGAATTCGTTGCGTTGTAGTACGACGATGTGTTCTGTTACAAATAACTTATATATGTAATTTTGTGACATTCGCCTTTGGCCGTGCCTTTACACGAACAAAATCTAAGAAACTGTTATTTACAGGAAACGGTGATACCGAAAGAAGAGTCTGTACTGCCAGTTTACGTCTGTTTCAAGGGCAAGTTCTGTCTCGTACACCCTGCATGACTGTTGAACAAGTTTCATTTAGGTCGAGCAAATGTGAACGTTTGTTAAAACCGTTGTATTGAACATACAGGCATTATCCTGTGGACCTTTTAGACATGCTGCAGTCATTCAAGCTTTTCTTCAACTGTAACCTGGTGCTATCACGCTCCTACTCTGGATATTATGTCTCTCGAGTGAGGTCTGTCTTCTTTAAAATACATCTATTTATAATATGAAATAGGATGCCACTGTAGTACTGGAAGTATAATGTACTGACGGACTGGAATTAATATAACTTTTTATAGGTGTTTGGATGAATCTCACAAAACCTGTCAAGAACATGTCCAGGTCAAAAGAAAATATATTTTATAATAAATAAGAAAATGAAAATAGTTTACATTTGTGACATAAGTACACAAATAGTTAACTCTGTTGATTAAAAAAAATGTTTTTCATGAGTTTACAATGCAAACAGTCCTAAAACAGCTATTATTTTCCTTATCTTTTTATGTGTTGATGTTTTGAGGTGAATGACCTAATTAACAATCCATTAAACATTCTTTGGTTTCTTATGAATTCTTATTCATGTTATTTTTTATTATTATTACTACTACTATTATTTAAAAAATAAATGGTAGTATAATTAAGCGTTATCTATAATATTTTCTAGCATGAATTATGGACAATTCAAGTCATTTTTTTCTTAACTTCTGAATATAAAATAAAATATTCCTGTTTAGGTACCTTAAGAGATTAAAGGAGGACGATGAGGCATGTCGAGAGGCACTGAAGTCTGGAAACTTTCTACTGTATCATAAGCTTTCTCCTCTACTGCGAAAGACCAGCAATGGCATTTACACATTGGCTTCTCTAAAAACCTCAGGTTTCAATACAACTCCATTTAAACTCTTCCATTACGAAAATAAAAGGATTTTGCATATGCATTTGTATATTTGTATGCCCATTTCTCTAGATTTGGAACACATACTGGAGAAGGTTGGAAAGGACAAACACTTTGTTAACGAATCTTTTCTTCTGGGATGCACTGACAAGGGTGAACCCCAATTCTCACTGGAAGTAGGTCAGTTAATACAGCCATTACTACACAATAGTATGAAAATAAAGCCCAACATTCTACAACTGGAAAATGTATCAGTATAGGAAATTTCATTTATACATCTGGCAAGCGTTTTTATCCAAAGGGACTTATATTGCATTCGTTGACTTACAGTATATTGCTTTGGTGTTGCTAGCTCCATGCTCTACTGTTTGAGCTACAGGAACGCTATAGGATTGAGAATGTGAGTGGTGTTTGATTGTTCCTGGAATTTCAATGACATTTTAAATTCTTTATTCATTTCCAGGCCTGGAAAACAATGTTAATATTTCCAGGTGACCATGGAAACCCTGTATACTATACTATTCTGTAAACTGTATATTATTTTATACACTACATATATCAGCTCATGGAGATCTCTTCTCACTGTAGGTGATTTAGACCGCAGTGCATTGGAGCAGGAGTGTAGAGGTATGTTTGTGGACCTCAGGAAAGCTTTCTTCATGTTACCTGGACCAGAGTCTCCTCTTGCGGCCAAAGTATGTACTTTAGGTTTCTAAATGATCAGAAATGCTAGTGCTTTGTAATCGCTGTGAATTGTCATGTTGATTTTGTGACTGATGATATTTGATTTCAGTAAACATGGGGTAGGTAAGCAGGTTGCAGGTTCAAATACAGAGTTCTGGCATGAAACTCTAGATGGCGCAGTCCGATATGTCTAACTCAATCTGACCTAATGACATCATCACATGGCACAGCTGATTGGTTCTCTTCTGTATCAGTAGCCAATGAGCTCGCTGCTCAGCATTCAAATATATGACTAGTGCTTGCCGTAGCAGTTGCAGCTTGCTTCAGAAACCCTCCACCTTCCCCAGCTCCACCTGTATAGATCTGCTACGAGGTGATTTATGTATGCTATATGGGGTTATTTCATGTATGTTATATTTGCAGCAGCAATATTTCTTACATGCTCACAGCAGCATGTTGTGGATGTATTGGCAGTAGCAAGTCTCGGTACTTGCTCTGCTGTAGCAGCAGCGTAGTAGATCTATTCCGCAAAGACCAAATACATTAACATTGTCATGTACATTACCATGCCAATCCCTCCGAGAGTTGTCATGACAGAACTTAAGTTCAGCATTAAATGAAAATTTGTGCTATCAATTTCCTAAATGCATGTTATTGTTCTTATTGTGAACGATTCACCCATGAATATGTTTTTTGACCTCGTAATTTTTAATCAAAATGTTAGAACTGGATCTTCTGGTGAAACGACAGACTTCTCTCTAGTGATGTATTCAGGACTTCTCCAGTCATCTGCTAAAACTCCACCCCTTTAATACAACTGACTACAAGCTCACATTCAGATCTGCCTTTATCCAATCAACAGCCGATGCATAGAACCAAGTCCCCGCCTTTATTTCTTTTTTCAATAATTGATTTCACTTGGATATATATAATACGGAGGAAAATATCTTTCGCTCCTTCTGTTACAAAAGCAAAAACGAAAGATATTCTATATGAATAAAGTTGGAGCCATTCGTATGTTGACCATCTCTGAGAAGTTATATGGTGTTTGTTTTAGGGACAAGCTCTCCTTCGATGGCACCAGACTAATTGCTTTTGCAGTGCCACTGGGCAGCCTACCATTAGGAACCAATCAGGAAGTTTCAGAGTTTGCAACAGCAGTGGCATCACCTACTACCCCAAAGTAAGCATGTGCTTTTCACGATGCCAGACAACACTACAACTGCCACAATATGCACATACATGGCATTTGACAGAAAGCATTGTCTGATTTTTCAAATCATTTCTGTTTTATCTGATATGTTTTACTGACGCAGGTTTGAATAATATTAATGTGCTGTTCTAAATAAAGATATATTACCATTTTCACAGTATCTAAATAGCTATTTAGACATTGTTTCAGGCTACTACTGTATGTAATAAAGTCTAATATAGTAATTTACACAATAATGGCAGTTAAAATTAATGTAATAAGGGCTATGGCAATATCAGCAAACAACAGATTTGAACTAGATAAAAAAAGTGAATCAATACAAACTTTGAGAAAGCTTAGCCATAAATTTTGGAAAAGTTTGAAGGTTTTAAGCTTTAAGTGTTACTGTGGCTCAGTGGTAGAGCATTGTGTTAGCAGCGCATAAGGTCGTGGGTTCAATTCCCAGGGAACACACATACTGGTAAAAAATGTATAGCCTGAATGTACTGTAAGTCGCTTTGGATAAAAGCGTCTGCTAAATGCATAAATGTAAATGTAAGTAGTTTTAAGTTTAAAGCAGTTTTAAGTTTAAAGTAATTTAAAAAACTTAAAATGTTGAAAGTTTTAAGGCCATGCAGCGTCCCAGACAGTAGATTTTATAAACAGGTCCGAATCCATTCTGGTATGGAATGCCCACTTACTACCCAATTAATTGCTGATGAATCCATTTTCACGTTGAATATCCTATTTTGGAGTACAATGAATTGCGAATGCCATTTCTTGTTGTCCTTAAATTACGGTACACAATGAATACATTAGCATGAAGCTGTTTGTCTTTGACTTGCAGATGGCACCTGTTGTGATCGTGCTGGTGTCTGATGGGAGCAGATGTTTGCTGGCACGCCAGACCATGTTTCCTCTAGGCATGTACAGTGCGCTCTCTGGCTTCTGTGACATGGGTGAGTCACACTTTATTACAAGCTGCTGTGCACACCATATCACTCTGTGGAGTTACCTAACCATTTTGCTCTATCAAAACATTTTGCAGGAGAGTCAGTGGAGGAGACCCTGCACAGAGAGGTGGCAGAAGAGGTGGGTCTAGAGGTGGAGAACATTCAGTACTCTGGATCACAGCACTGGCCATTCCCACAAAGCTCCTTTATGTTAGCCTGCCACGCAACTGTAAACCCAGACAAAACGCAGGTGAGACTTGGGTGATCCCTTAAACTACTTATTAGTGAGACACTACAGATTAAAGACATGCATTATATTATTAAATTAAAAATAATAATAATAATTGCCTTCAGACACATGTAGGACTCTCTAGTTTGAGTCTCTGCTTTTACATAAAATTATTTTCTGATAATTTGTAATGAATTTGGTCAAATGTGTAAACAGTATTTCTCTGTCAGTTATAGAACATGGATGAGAATTGGTTCAGTTATTAAAATGTGAAAATGACTGAATGAATACTATTTTGAGACCCTGGAAAGCATTCAGGCATATCAAAACATACTTATTTAACCCAATGACAGCAGAGTAGAGGCATTGCTGTTGTTATAAACTTAAACTGCTTTAACTGTGTTCATGGATAGGTGAATATTGACAAGGCAGAACTTGAGGATGCTCGCTGGTTCACTTATGAAGAAATAACAGAAGCACTACGGAAACCGCCACTTGACCCCAGAAGAGAGCCACCTGTGTTCTGGGTCCCGCCGCCTTATGCCATAGCCAATCAGCTCATTCAAGAATGGGCCAATCAGCAACAACTATCAAGAAAATTACATGGACTTGAGTAATCATGTATCTAATATGCATTGTTACCACTAATTTAAGAACTTGAAGATAAAATAGACATGAAAACCTGAACCTGTGATAACCAGAATACTTTTGAAGGGATCTTCAGTGATATTCAGAGGAGGACTTTTATTAGAGTATGCCTGGATTGGGAAAAAAAATGTATAAATTGAAAATGATAATAGAATGAGAAGATAATTATGATTGTAATCATGATTTTTATATAATGCAATTATTATGCATGTATATTATTCTTGTATAAATAATTAGATTTGTAAGTGCATCAAGAAGCATCTGAATTTGGATTCCAAGGACACACTGCACTACCTCAAATAGTACTAATCAATCCGTACACTGTAGCCGTTTTTGAAGAAAACATTTGAATGTATGTTTTTACAATTATTTTTATGATTTTTAATTATCTTACAATAAAAACAGTACCAAGAAATAGTTTTCAATTGTTTTAAAAAAATACTTTTGTTGTTTTTAAGGATGTACTGTTTCTTTTTTAAATTTAATAAGACATATTTAATAAGTTGTTTTTTTTAAGACAATTTATATTTACATTCATAGTACGTTGTGCACGATTAATTATTTTTTTTTCGTTGACTGAGAGAAAAAACTCACTGACCAATCAGATTCAAGCCTTCCCTTTACGTATCCGATCCGAGAAGGGTATAACTGCAGCCTTAGAACAAAGCGATAGAGTAAAATCTTTCCCCTGCGCTGCCCCATTTTGGAGGTTCTGCCCACTTTTGGAGTTCACGCCCCATTTTGGAGATCTCCGGTCTGCAGTTATACATACTACTTGGAGGATCCCGCCTCTCCTCGACGCTTGGTGGCGCTGAAGCGGTAAATCCCGCAATAGAATCGTTAGAAGAAGAATGGTAGTCAAGATGGACGCGGAGCTGTTGCTGTTTTTGGTATCTGAGAACAAGGAATTATTTGATAAAAACCACAGTGAGTACAAAAACACGAAGCGGAAAGAAGTTCTCTGGCAAGGAATAGCAGACAAAATGGGAGTCGATGGTGAGTTTTGTTGGTGTCGCTTATTATGTAGCGTTACTGTCAGCGCGCCTAACCACCACCAACGTGTGTGTGTGTTTGTATAGTGGAAGAGGTGAAAGCTAAATGGAAAAATCTAAGAGACACATACACCAGGAAAAAGCGGCTGGAGCAGGATGGGAGTCGGGGTGGAAGGGCAGCTAAGAAAAAGAAGCAATGGAAATATATGCGAGTGATGGACTTTCTCGATCCCTCCACAGAACACAGAAGGTATTCGAGTGTGTTTCATTTAAGTCGCAAGACTTCAGAGTTTGAAAAAACTAAAAACGTCCCATTTTGATTTCACTGAATGTTCGTTATTAAAATCCAATAGACAGCGGTGACGTCATTGTAACTTTTTTTTTACGTGTGATACTGGTCCTTAAAAAAAAATACTGGTTACTTTTTTTTCTTGTTTCATTTGTGTATCAAATTGTGTTGTTGACTGCCTTTGTGATATTCAAGTTATGCTTGAAATAGCATATTACTATACTACTAAACATTTTATGAAATTTCTCAATGCAGAGCACACTAAAATCCATTTCCAGTGTGATATAATTTTCTAGTTTATTATTAGATTGGGCTGGCAAGTATGCAGACATTTTCATACAAAATTGGATTCACTGTTTATAAATAAATTACATTTTTATTTTGGAGATGACAACTGGATGCTGCAGGCAGAATTAAACACAATATGGCATAGTAAGTTAATATTTGAAATATTTAGCATTGCATAATGCATACTTCCACATTCCTGTTTTCTAGTAATAATACACACTCACACTGTATACTGCAAAGTACGTTAGTATTCCTCTATGACCACCAATGTCACATTGCTAAAGTGTAATAAAAGCATGAATTCCATGTTTTTTGTAGTCTGCCCTATTACTAGTATTTGATCAAATGAATTTTTTTTTTTGTAATGAAAATCTCAGGCCACCAAGATGTTTGTTTCATCATAGAAACGGATTTGGAAAAATTTAGCATTACATCACTTGCTTATCAATGGATCCTCTGCAGTGAATGGGTGCCGTCAGAAGGGTGCCGTTTGGGGAAGTCGTGGTCTAATGGTTAGAGAGTCGGTCTCGTAACCCAAAGGTTGGGGGTTCGAGTCTCGTACCGGCAGGGATTGTGGGTGGGGAGAGTGAATGTACAGTGCTCTCTCCCACCTTCAATACCACGACTGAGGGGCCCTTGAGCAAGGCACCGAACCCCTAACTGCTCCCTGGGCGCCGCAGCAAAAAAATGGCTGCCCACTGCTCCGGGTGTGTGTTCATGGTGTGTGTGTGTGTTCACTGCTGTGTGTGTGCACTTTGGATGGGATAAATGCAGAGCACTAATTCCGAGTATGAGTCCAAACAGCTGATTAAAAACATCACAATAATCCACAGCTAATCAACACGAGTCACACGACCCCAGTCCATCAATTCAAGTCTTGTGAAGTATAAATCTGTGTATTTGTAGTAAATCCATTAAGGCAGTTTGACATTTAAACTCCCGCTTCTGTTCAAAATACCAGTCCATAATCCACAATAATGCTTCATCCAGTGAAAAAGTCCATCCCCTGTTGTCCTCTCACATCAAAATTCACTGGCATATTTGCTTAGAACTGTTTTGGGCTGTTTTCGCTTGTAAACTCTGCTTGATCTGTGATTTCTCTCCTGATTCAGACAGTGACTGATTGAGACAAGAAAGCAATTTTATGGGTAGAGGACTCATTTTAGCTGGAAACACTGGTTTGAAGTTAAAAACAGTTTGAAGGATTTCTTTCTTACAAACAAGCAGCTTTTTGCTAATTGATGTACTGGAGTCATTTGGATTATTGTGACATTTTTAGCAGCTGTTTGGACTCTCATTCTGACGGCACCCATTCACTGCAGAAGATCCATTGGTTAGGAAGTGATGTAATGCTAAATATCTCCAAATCTGTTCTGATGAAGAAACGTATCTACATCTTGGATTGCATGAGGGTGAGTACATTTCCATCACATTTAAATTTTTGGATAAAGTATTCCTGTAACATAAAACATTTGTCTAGAACAACTTGATGATCTTGACTATATCCAACAATTAAAAACATTAGGTGTTTATATGAACAGATTTTCATCTAATTAATGTCAGTTTAATCACACCCACACCAGTTCCTTCACAACTGCCGCCATGTGCACGTTTTTGTGGTATACCAATAAATATGTAAAAATGGTCCGATTAATCTTCTATTAACTTAATCAGGTAACATCATTTAGTCCTTTTGTAGCATAGTGGGAAACTATCATTTAATTTTATTTAAATTTTAGCAAAAGTTTGCATTACTTATCTGTACTGTAATGAAGCATACAAAAGCTCATGGTTATTCACAATGGTTTTTATCGGTGTACAGTGTTCTTTTGGACAGCCTTCCCAGCAAAATCGAGGATGATGAGCCAGATGAAGACAGTGGAGCCGAACCAGCCAGCACCAGTACAGGAACATCAGTGACAAGTCCAGGAGCGATCCAGTCTGACATTGTAAAGAGAAGGCGATCAGAGACACTAGAGCTGTTGGAAAGGTATCTGGCATCTAAAGATGCAAAAGACAAAGATGAACAGCAAGATGAAGTCGATTTATTTCTTCGGAGCTTAGCACCTGCTTTAAGACGCCTACCTGCTTCAAAGCAGTCCTTGGTGAAGCTTCAGATCCAAAAAATACTTCATGACGCAGAGTTCGGACAGCCCAGCTTTCCTCAGATATCCTCAGTGTCACCAAGTAATCAGTTGTTACTACAGTGTAGTGTTGTAAAACCCAGTTGAAATGCTTTTTTATTGAAAATAAATATAACTTTAAAAGAAGTGACCTTGTGCTGGTTGTTTCATATTTTCAGTGTTGAGTGTTCTATTCTATATGACTAAAAAGAAGTATATGAATACAAACCACAACTTTCATATCGATCGAAACAAGTTTATTATATTCAGATAATCATGAACAATAATACATTCAACACTTACGAAACAGGAAAACATATATACAAAAAAAACTGTTAAAGTAACACTTCAAATTTTTCATTATTTGATCCACAAGCTGGTCTGGACAAGAACACATGAAGCAGATTCACACTAATCCACTCTAATAAATGCTTGAGAATGTGTCACGTTATTAGTCTCGATATGCTTCCTTAAACCAGGTCAGTATCCATTATAAAGCATCCTTTGATTATTATTTACAAGATGGATTTTATAACATTTGGTAGAAATAGCTCAGTATGGTGAATGTCTAATTTTTCTTGCCCTTCTTTCCTGCAGCTGGTTTCTTGCAATATTTCGCCTCCAGATCTGAGATGAGGGAGTTGTATCCGTTTTCTTTGGACTTTTGTCTTTGCTAAATAAGAAACAGAAGCCATAAAGTCAATTGTAATACTTTTAAAGAGGTTGTGATTGAACTCCAATACTTTAATAATTCATTATTTGCCTTTTCAGCATGCAGCTTATGGTTATATACTAATTTCTGAGAAAAACTGGAGGGTATTGTAGGTCATGTATTAATTCACAGTACGTTAAATGAAAGATGAACTACACAAACTCAAATGTCATTTAGAAAACGAATTCCATCCAAATGGTCCTTTATTTACCTTTGTACAGATTTGCACATGCACTACCTTTCAAAAGTCTGGAGCAATGGCTGCTGGAAATTCAGCTTTGCCATCACAGGAATAAATTAAATTTTAAAATCTATTCATATAGAGTACACATTTGGCAGATTAATACAGCCTGTGACATCTGAATGGTTTTTACCTTAATCATAGCTACCAGGCTGTCCTCACTGTTCAAGCCCATCTCCTTCTGCATTTCCTCTGCCTCCTTGCGCTCTTTTTCCGCCTAGAATGTCAGGATAATTCATCAAAGACTCCAACCTTATTAAAAAAAAAATCATTATTTCATAGCAAAACTTTAGAAAGTGAATCGGCACCTTTATTTTGCGGTTGTTCTTCTTCTTGGCACTTTCATGAGTGAAGGCTTTGTAGGCTGGCACATCTTCAGCGTCAATGGCTT